CCCCACAAACCAAAGAAACCAACAAAAAACCAAAGAAGGGGCAAAACACACAGGCGGGGGGGACAAACGGGCGGGAAGGCACCGCCATCCCGCGGGGCCGCGCCGACCTCAGCGAGCAATGCATACATTTGTGTGTGTGTATATATACATAATATATATGTGTGTTTATATAAAACGCATGCGCTCGCACGTAACATATATTTAGCACGACGAATTCCCCAGCGCAGCAGCTCTAACTTCTCGGAATTCACTCCGCTACGGGAAGCCGCCCCCCGCCCCGGGCTGAGGCCACTCACCGCTCAGGTAGTTGGTCCACTTGTAGAGCACCCCCTCCATGGCGGCGGCCCCATGCAGCGCGGCCGGGCCCCGGCAGCGCCGCCCCGCGCCGCCCGCGCTACGGCCCCGCTCCGGCGCCGCCGGCGCCCAGGGCCATGGCGGGGCGCCACGCGCCCGCCCGGCCCTCGGCGCGGCCCCGCCGCTACGCTCGTGGCGCAGCGGCCGCGCGGAGCAACGGCCCCGCGGCGCTACGCGGGCGTAGGCGGCTCCGAGAATCGCAGCCCACGTGACGGGCGAGCCCGGGCGGGGCGGCGCCCGCCGCGCCTCCGCTAGCAGGTGGCCTGCCGCAGCCAATGGGAGCGCGCGCTGCCGGCGGGCGCTGCCCATTGGGCGGCCGGCAGGAGCCGGCTCTATTGTGCGGGGCTGCCCGGCTCGCTAGCGTTCGCTTCCTGGAGCTCCTGGGCCTGCCCACCGCCTCCGCGGAATCCTCGYGGAGCTCTGCTGCCGATTGGTCAGACCGGATGACAAACAAGAGCATGTCCCAATAGATTGCCGATTCTGCTATGCTTGCTCCCAGACGAGCCAATCAGATGGTGTACTCTGGCCCTGGTCCTGCCCCGCTTTGAAGCCGGCAGCCGCCAGCTTGCGCGGGCCGGTGCCACGTTTGCTGGGCGGTTGCGGGAGCCGTTAGGGCCGTTGCGGGCATGGCGGCGCGGAGGCGCTGAGGCGGGCGGCCATGGCGGCGCTGCGCGCGGCCCTGCTGGGCGCCGTGCTGGGCTGCGCGGCCGCGGCGCTCATCCCCGCGGCTGACGTGAAGGTGGAGGTGCTGCAGAAGCCCTTCCTGTGCCACCGCAGGAGCAAGTGGGGCGACATGATGCTCGTGCACTACGAGGGCTTCCTGGAGAGGGATGGCTCCCTCTTCCACTCCACGTAAGTCGCTCGCGCCGGAGGCCTTGTCTTGGAGCTGGGGCTGGTGCGTTTAATATACATCTATATCTCTGCCTATAACAGCTACATAAACCTATAACAGCTCTTCTGTGGGTGTCTCCTCATGGTGCGACCCGCGACCATGCTGCAAAACRGTCTTGAAATCCAGTTGTGTTTTAGTTTTAAAATTAAATTAAAAAATAGCCCCAAATACGTTCATATGTGTGCTGAGAATATGGGGAGGTGGGAGGAAATAAAAGCAATGCATCCTTATTCAGAACTTACCCCCGTTTCTTATTCTTTTAGTGGATTAATACATCTTTTAGCGATGCTGAACAAGCTTCTCGGAGAAACCCTTTGCCCACTACATCTACCCTGTGCTAGCACTGGGAAGTTTGGGTTGTCTTTACGTTTTAAGAGCTGAGGAAGCGCTGACTTGCAGTACTGTTACAGATGAACACAGCAAAATTCATTTCCCCCCTGTTGCCAGAGTGAGGCTCAAAGCTGAATTCTATTTAGCTTCTACTTTCTGGTTAGTCCATGGAAAGCAAGTTATATACATATTATATATATATATATATATATATACACACACACACACACACTTTAATGGAGGTGGTAGACACCCTCTCAAATAAACAACTTAGATACAGGTTTTCATATAGGTGGTTTATTAGGTGCATACTTTATGTTGTCTACAAATTTCTTTCTAGTTTCTCAGGAAAACTTCTGGAGGAGACAAATGCCTCTAGTTAAGGGGGAAAAAGTATTTCTAAAGCCACCAGCACGATGGTACTTGTAGAATGGTACCATGGCTGTGCTGAAATGGCATCTTCACCTGCCCCGGAGCAGGCAAATCAACATACCAGGTAATAGAAGTAGGAACAAGATATTCAAAGSAGTTTAAGAGCCTGCAAAGACCTGCTAATGTTTCCTTTCCTGGAAGCATCAACGAGGTGTTAACAGTGGGAGACAGGGAAAACACTCAAGTTTGCACAGACCGTGCCTGAAGTCTGCTTTGTAGAAAGCATACAAAAGGGCTGTGTTTGGCATGTTTGCTCATTTGTAGGTAATTTAAACTAAAATCTCACTAATTTTCTCTTGTAGCTAACCTGCCTCTCTAAAAGGAGCTCTAGTGACAATCTAGGTTTTCGYGGCTAACTTCTGTAAGTGCTGTTTCCTTTCTTGCATGACTGGTAAAGGGAGCTTTGTGGCTGTAGTCAAATTTATGCTACTGCCACTGTGGTGGAGGTAGCCCTTGTGTCACCACTCGGTGAAACTAGAACAGGGGGGTGGGCTGCCTCTTCAAGCTAAGTGTTTTGCATGTATCTTTATTCTTCTAACTTTGTTGTGTGCACATTTTTCCTCTAACAAYTGTTTTAAAAAGAGAGGTTGTTGAGTGCATGGGATGGGGTAAAGTGTAAATGTGGCTGAGATCTAGAAACTGGTCTCAGTTTGCAGCTTGCTGTGGAATGCACACAGCCTTGAATGTATGTTTTAAGYAGGGTTGCTTTTGTAGTCTGTGGAAATGAGTGATCAGGGAAATGAGGGTGGGATCCAAGTGGCTCGATGTTGTCATGTGTGCTCTGTATATGCTATTTGATTTAGCAATGGTGTCATGCAGGATGTGAGTTCAAAGATTTTAAAGGCTTAGATCTTCTTTCATTTAAGAAATGCCAAGGTCCTGAATAAGATTTCTATTGCATAACTGTCAACTGTGTTTGTTTTGTGTCTGCTCTTCATATAGAGCTTGCTGTTCAAAGACTAAGTGTTGTATTCCTTTTTTTTTTTCCAGCCACAAGCATAACAATGGTCAGCCCATGTGGTTTACACTTGGCATAAGGGAAGCAATCAAAGGCTGGGATAAAGGTTTGAAGGACATGTGTGTGGGAGAGAAGAGAAAGTTAACTATCCCACCCTCCCTTGCTTATGGAAAAGAGGGAAAAGGTAAAACACCTCAAGTCCTCCCCTTATTTTAATTTATTTTTACCCATGTATTTTACTGTTATTCGTTCTGGTCTAAGAGGTTAGCAGGTTTTGAAACTTTCCAGGCAAGCTCTATAAAGTAAGAAGAATCGATGGAGTCAGGTACTCTTTCTCACAAACCTGCTTTTTACAGAAATATTCAGCAAGTGGTTAGGTGGTGAACACAGGAATGTTGTATATGAAGTAATTTTGCTTCCAGCAGAGAACAGGAAACTTTTTGTAGACAGCCAGTTGTCAGTGTGTGGGGCACAGCTGTATGTTTCTCCACAAAAAAAAAAATATATATATATATATAAATATATGTATAAATTCTCAGTATTCACCTACTAGCATAATATTAGAGAATTAGTTACCTAGATTAATATGCAAAGTGCTACAGTTAGCTCTCAGAATCTTGCAAGCTCACATGTTTAAGGCAGAAACTTTGAAAGAGTGAATATTGCTGGTTGCTTAAGAAACTGCTTTTTTTAGGAAGACTTCGAAGTATTTGTCTGAATGTTGCTATTTTCAAGTGATGACCTGGAAGASAGACAGAATTATCTCATTTTCTCCACACTTCCTCAGAACACACAGGACTTCACTAGCCTCTGTCCCGGTGCCTTGATTGCTGGCTGACCYGAATGATGAATCAGATGCCTTATTTTGCAACCCTCAGAAATATCACCTGCATACCAGACCCCGAGAAGGTTACTGTGGGCAGTGTTCACAGAAGTATCTGCTTATTTCTTCAAAATGTAAATCTAAAACCTGCCTGTTGCTGTAGCTCAGGGTATATTTAACATCACAGCTCCAAAATAGTATGTGAGGATTAGTTCTTCTGCCCGTCTTTTCAAGGTGCAAAAATATTTTTGGAATGCTGGCAACCAGTGTGGAAATATACTTACTTCTATTCAGCCTCTGCATACCGTGGGCCAAGTGATGTACTAAAAGGTCTCTGATAGTAACTTCAGTCATTAACGAGAAGGAATAACACACAGCTGTAAAGCCAGGACATGAGCAACTGGAATTACTTAGTATGGGGGGAAGCAGCCCTAAGACAGCTGCAGGATGCAGACAGCATTTCAGCCTCTTTGTCCTTTTCCACAGAAAAGTTTTGGTTTTGTTGTTTGTTTGTTTATTTTATTCCTCCAGTGGCAGAGCATTATATGCAAAAGGTAATAATCTCTGTTAAAACTAGTGAAATTTAAACCTGCCTCTGTGCTGTAGAGGCTCCTTGAACCCTAGGCTACAGTTTGAAGTAGTCGCAGTGCTCACTGTTGCAGGTGCTGGCCTCAGTAGTTCCAACAGCAGTGTTTCAAAACAGGTGAGACTAGAAGAACTTTGCTCAGAGGCACGTGGCTTTTGCATGGCACTGAATGTGTAACTGTCTTTAACTTGTCTCCATGTTTAACATTTTGGGCAGGAAAAATTCCACCTGAGAGCACGCTGATATTCAACATTGACCTTTTAGAAATTAGGAATGGACCAAGATCTCATGAATCATTCCAAGAGATGGATCTTAATGATGACTGGAGGCTCTCCAAGCAAGAGGCAAGTGGATTACTTTCCTTGCTAACAGCCCTACAGGATAGGATAGTGGAAAGGGGAAGATAAGACAAGCTAAGCTTATCTGAGTGCTTAGAGTTAGATTTTAGCACTAGGTGAAGTGTCAAGTGGTATCAATGCAAGTTGCAATTCACTTTATCCCTTGGTCACTCCTGTTCAGGCCGTACTTGCTATCCATAGAGCAACTCTGCAAGCAAGAGTAGGTACTACATTAACAGCACCTAAGGCAGTTAGCTACAGGGTAACGCACAGGATAGGTAGCTGGGAGCAAGGAGCTGTTAGGCTAACTGTTAATATTCTGTTCATGAAYGAGAAGATGCCCTAGAAGCCTTTGCTGGACAGTTAAGATGGGATGGAGCGGGATGAGCCTTGCAGTTGTTGCCTTTCAGTTTTCTCCACCTCCTTCTCCCTTGATCATCTTTCAATCAGATACACTCAAGCCAGGGCAACTTAGTTGCTAGTTGTATCACCTCTTATTACTAAGGAGTCTGAACAGGACTATGACATCTGTTTGGAAATTKGAAAATTGTCATTGTTTAGAAAGTGGCCTGGAAAGGAATGTAGCCGTTGTCTAATACTACAATCCCAAACTGTGTGGCCTCTCTTACTCT